GTCGTGCATGTTCTAGACCCAAGGTTGGGTTGCACGATGACAAGGCGAGGAATCTTGCCATGTAACGCTGGATCACCCTAAATGTGCCATTTCGACCAATGAGAAGCCACACCCGGATTGAATCGCGAAATACGCACATCCACGGTCCTATCCATGATAAAAAAAACTGTTGAAGCACCCACAACAGCTAAGCAATCAAATACACTTTCAAAAAATATGTCCGTATGATAAGACCCGGGTACTACACATTTCTAAGCCTTTGACAAGAACCCCCCTCTTCTTTCTCTGAATTTTTCATAAGACCCTAGGGTCTTATATCCGGGGGAATACGGTATATCAGCAGTGTTGGCCCGTGTGGCCACGTAAGCAAGACGAAGCTGACCACGCTGCTGCAAATCTCGAGCAAGGAAGTAACGCAGAGCGATGTGCTTCGTTCTGTGCTCCAGTCTGTGCTCCTGACACAAGGCAATCATGGCCTTGTTGTCTACGTACAGAACTAGAGGAGAACGAGGCCGCTCTCCCAAGTCGGTCAGCAGGTAGGTGAGCTAGCGTAACTCCTGTGCAGCCATGGCTCTTGCGTAGATCTCAGCCTCACAATTGGAGCTGAGAACAGAAGACGAGCGGGTAGACCGCCAAGAAACAGAGCCGGAGCCAAGGCTGAAAGTGTAACCCTGTGACGACCGCTGCGTAGCCAGGTCGTCAACCCAAGACGCGTCTGAGTGTTTAGTGAGGACTACTGGACCTCGTCCTCCAAGCACGAGCCCCATGCCCGATGTACTGCACAAGTAGCGCAACACCCTCTTAGCGGCCTCCCAGTGCTCTGGTCGGTGTCTCCCGGGCGCAACGTAGCGTGCCAGGATGCTAAGAGGGTACGCAAGGTCAGGTCGAGTGTAGGTCATCAGGTACATGAGGCAGCCCACAAGCTCTGGATACGGGCCACTCGGCTCTACGGACTCGTCCGAAGGTGGAGCTGAGAGTGAGTATCCGGTAGGCAGAGGAGTGGACTGTGGCGAGGAGAACCGGAAGCCGAAGCGCTGAAGGACCTGGTGCACCATGTGTGACTGAGTCAGGGTGATGGTGCGCCGTGCTCTGTCCAAAGTGATCTACAAGCCAAGATAGCTGCGCAGCTCACCCCGTTTAGTGCAGGTGTGTCTCTTCTGCAGCTCCGACTTCACAAGGGCCAGTGCCTCAGTGTCAGCAATGGCAAAAACCAAGTCGTCGACGTACACGAGGATGTAGAACAGCGGCAGCGAAGTGTCGGTGCGCAGAAACAGCGACGGGTCAGCAGTCGAAGGAGCAAACCCAAGAGCCACAAGTGTCGTCCTCAGTGTGTTGTGCCACTCACGAGGCGCCTGGCGGAGGACGGCGCAGCCAGCTCTCCTCGTGCAGGCTGCCCTGTAAGAAAGCTGTGTTGATAACAAGTGAGTGAAGCTCGTAGTCACGCTGAGCGGCAACGTACAGCAGAACTCGAAGAGCGGTCATCTTCAGGGTAGGGGAGAAGGTCTGGAAGAAGTCAACTCCCTGTCACTGACTGAAGCCTCGTGCAACGTAACGAGCCTTCAAGATGGGCGGAGAACCCGCCGGCCGCTTCACCCTGAAAATTCACATGCCATCGACTATGTTCGCCCCAGGAGGGGAATTGCGTCGACGTAAGTGCCTGTGGACTTCCAGGATGCCATCTCTGCGTCCATGGATGTCTGCCACTGAGAGGAGTAGGGACCCGTAATCGCCTCTGCGTAAGAGCGCGGGGTCGGGATGTCTGGTGCATCCGGGTCTCCCTCAAGGGCAAGCAGCATGGCCACGAGATGAGGTACAGCAGCTGCAAGACACTCAAAGTCCTCCTGCCTGTCCTCAAGGACGTCCGTGCCAAGAGCACGCTCACCCCCGACGGACGGAGGACAGAAAGACTCAGACTCAGCAACAAGACTAGCGGCGTAGTCTAGACGACATGCAGCAGCAAAGTCAACAAGCTCAGCAACTAAGGCAGACACAGCAGTGGACTCAAAAGAAGGGTCAGTGACAACAGTAGCTAGGAGACGTCTGACATTAGGGCCTGCAGCACGAACCAAGTTAGACTCAGGGTCCGGAATGTCAGGAAGAGAGGACGCCGGAGGAGACGGCAGGGGAACTCGCGGTGGAACAGAGGAAGGACGAAGTGCCATAGTGTGAGTACCTGGCACAGGGGGAGGACGCGGACGAGGGACACGACGACCATGCAAGCAGACGTGACAGGACGAGACGCAGGCTCGCGACGCTCTGTAAGGGAGGCTGGCTGCTCAGTGTAAAGAGGGGTGGCAGGCAGCGGTGAGTCTGGCTGTAACGGCGTCTATCACAGGTCAGGCGGAGGACACAGTGAGGGAGGAGGAAGGGCAGTGGACGAAGGAAGACTAAGAACCTGACGGAGCGCCAAGGCAGGCGGTAGCAGTGACGACAGCGGCGGCGGCAAGAAAAACGGTCGCCGCTGTACAGTGCCTCCAGCACCAGTACCGCCAGCTCCAGTGCCTCCAGCGCCGGCACCTTTTGCTCCAGGGCCTCTAGCACCAGCGCCCCCAGCTCCAGGGTCTCCCAGCTCTAGCGCCTCCAACTCCAGCGCCTCCAGCTCCAGAACCTCCAGCTCCAGCGCCTCCAGCTCCAACGCCTCCAGCTCGAGGGACTCCAGCGTCAGCGCCTCCAACTCCAGGGCCTCTAGCTCTAGCACCTCCAGCTCCAGTGTCTCGAGCGTCAGTGCCTCCTGCGCCAGCACCTCCAGAAATAGTGCCTCCAGCTCCAGCAGCGCAACTCCGAAGGCGGGTGCGCCGAGCAAACCACTCGCACAGATGTTGTGGTGAGAGAGGCTCCCGCCGGCTAGACCGCTGCGGCGAGGCACCCGTAGGACCTCCAGCAGACGCAGTGCCCATAGGCTCAGGACCCCCAGGCTCCGCACCCCCAGACTCAGTATCCTCAGGCTCGGGACCCCGAGGCTCAGCACCCCAAGACTCAGCACCCCTAGTAGCACCACCCCCAGCAACACCAGAGTCGACAGCAACCGGCTGCAGAGGCGGCGAAGACGGTCGAGGTGGAAAACCCGGAGGGGTCTCCAAGCGTGGTGAGCGGCGGGGGGGCGCCGCGTCGTTAGCACGAACGTCACCCCCCTCAGCTGGGCCAGAGGTGTCGGAAGTGACCTCGAAAGGCTCACATAGCTAAGGGGAGTGGGTCTACTTGAGACACACCTAAAGGATCAGGACCCTGAGGGGGGAGGGGGTCTACCGGAGGGGGACCTGGAGCGAGGAAGAGCGGCTGGGGGTGGAGAGGGGCAGTGCGGTAGGAGAAGAGACGGTAAAAGGGAACCGACTCGTCAAACGTGACGTCCTGAGAGGACAAAACACGGCGCGTGGTGGGTGTAAGAATCCCAGCACTGGGATGCCCGAGGTGCACACACCGGGATTCGAACTCGAGCTTCGCTCTGATACCATGTCAGAATCCCAGCCACTAACCACTGGGATAAAAGGGCTTGTTTGTGTAGCGGGTGAGTGCGTCCATAACCCCCTAGGCCGACGTGTCTGTAACCCTTCCCTAGGATCAATCGGGGATCTCCAAAGGAAAACGCAGTGGGGTGGTAAAACTGTCAGCCAGGCGCGTTAGTGGGAAAGCCAAGGAAAACGCAGGGAATGGCGCGAGAGTAGAGCTTGTCCACGTTGGTATCGCGGACAAAGGCACGAGAGCCCCAGACCCGGAACACCGACGCATCGCCAACCTCCCCCGTCCAACGCAGTGTAGGCGAGGTCTCCGGCAAGGAGACACGGGTTGAGCTGATGTGCAGCGTATCGGACCGCAAACGGCCACCTCCATGACTAAGCCAATGCGGTGCTCAGCAATCCCATTCTGCTGCAGGGAGGCCGGAAGCGTGAACGACTGGAGGATGCCCTCCCCACGACAAAAGTCCCGCAGGAGGTGGGAGGAGAACTCACCACCTCTGTCAGAGTGCAGACGCAGGACAGGAAGTCCTGGCGGAATCGCTCGGGGAGCTGGAGACGAACAGCGCGGATCCAAGGGATCAAGACATCAGGGACCTCCCCCTTGCGCAGACTGTGGTGTAACTCGAGTAGTCGTAAAAAACCAGCAGAAAGTATCGCTCGGGTCCTGTCCATTGACGCGAGCTGGGCCCCACACGTCCATATGGAGAGTCTGCAGGGGAGCAGTCGTCGAGGGAAACGAGGAGGAGTGAGGAGCGACGCGCTGCCGCCCCTCGACGCAAGGAAGGCAGGGTGGCGCAGGCGAGGGCGGGAGGGGAGGCAGAGACCTGGGAAGACCAGAGACAAGGAGGCGGGAGTGCATGCCACGGAGGCGTGGCAGGGAGGGGTGACCAAGGCGGTGGTGCCAAAGGAGAGTCTGGTGTGTGAGGAGGCGACACGAACAGGGGGCTGCTACCTGACCTGACGCGGACACCTGACCAGACGCAGCCACCTGAGTAGGCTCAGTAGTCAGTGTGTACAGGCTCGACCCAGGCCGACGGGTGAACGTGGCCAGGTGACGGCCCGTCCGTGCACACGTGCAGATCAACACATGCTGACCCCGGGAGTGGTGGTAGTGACCATCGCATCCTGGAGGGCAGCGGTACTCACCAAGTTCGTAGAGAACGAGGGGAGGTGAAGACCTGAGAGTGAGCCAGACGGAACCGCTGGACACGGGAGAACAGTGGAGGAACGTGCAAGAACCGGGCCCCCTGAGGGGTCAGCCAGAGAGACTGCAACAGGTGCAGGGAGTGGTGTGACTGTGGTACTGTCGCGAAAGAAGCAGCGGGAAGCACCTGAGTCAAGTGTGAAGGTGTGCAAGGCCTGAGCAGGCGCAGTACTAGAGAGAGCAGACTCACTAGCACCTAGAGCAGCAGCCTTTGTACCTGGGTCGGGCGGCACACACAGGTAACAGTCACCCTCAATACTAACAGTCAAAGCATACATGCCAGCACGGACAACGTCATAGTCAAGAGCAAATATCTCCACATCGTTCTTAAGCAATTCTAGTCAGCGGGGGAGCTCAGCATCGTCGCCAAACTCTGCGCGCCAGGCGTCGTCAAGACGGGAGAAGCAGCGGTATTGTGTGTGACCAACCTTCCCGCATGTCTGACCAGCCCGATCACATGTGTGAATGACGCACAGGCAGCAAACACTATCCCCAGGCGCCCCACGCTGAGAAAACCACTGACGAAGCTGCTGGGGTGTGAGTTGCTGCCTTTGGCCACCGCCAGAACCTCCCCTCTGGACCGCTCCACCCCGACCGCCACCACTGCCGCCGCCACCACTCCCACTGCTGTCATCGCCGCCGCCACCACTCCCACCGCTACCACCACCGCCGCCACCCCCACCACCACTCCCACCACCACCATCGCCACCTCCACCGTCTCCACCGCCTCCACCACCGCCTCCACCGCCGCCACCCCTTCCACTCTTGCCTCCCATGCCCTTGCCATTGCGGCACCTCCCACTAGGAGCAGACGTAGCCCCGACCTCCTCAACACGAAGGAAGTCAACAGCAGCAGCAGAAGCGACAGAGGGGGCAAGGGGGGAGGGGGAACACCCCTCAAAGAAGGGAGTGCGAGGAATGTTACGAGAAGCAGCTACAACGACTATGCTAGTCTCAGCTGCAAGGAGATGCTTCTCGAGCAGGTCGACAGTGAGGTCTGTGGGGTCAAGGGCGAGAAAGTGGTCCCTGACTGCGCGAAGAGAGTCAGGGAGGCGGGTGACGAGGAAGTAGAGAGTGATGTACATAGGGGGGGGGGGGGGGGGGGGGGGTCTTCTCTAGAAACTCGGGTTTAAGCGCGGCGCAGTAGCGAGTGTCACTAGTGCGAAGGTGGGTGATAAGGTCGGCGACTATGGGAAAGTCTGACAGCTCGGGAAAGAGGTAGGATAGTATGAGTCGGCCTAGAGCAGCAGTGGCAGGGGAGGAGTAACGAGCGACTACAGCGTCAAACAATGCTTTAGCAGTCTTGTGCTGGCCAAAGTGCGCGCGTTCGGCTAACGGCAAGTGGTTGCGAACGGCGAGGCGAGCAGTAGCGTCACGGGTAAGCCACTGTGAGCGAGTCGCACTGTCAGGTGTCTCAGGAGGAGCGAGAGAGGTCCCAGACGTGTATTCAAAAAAGGAGACGCCGTCCCTAGACTCGCTCTGTAGGTACAGCTGTAAGTCGTCTAGCCAGGTCTCAAACTGGATCGGACGGCCCTTAGAATCAAAGGTGAGAACACTAAGAGAAGCCATAGCGGGCTTAGCAGGGTGGCGCGCGACCAGCAGGGCAGCACGCAGGCAAGGCAGGGCGGCGCACAGGCCGCAGCACGGCGCGACGGGCAGGGCAAGGGGGCGCGCGGGCACTAGGGAAGCGCGCAGGGCAGGGCGGGGCGGCGCGTGGCCAGGGAAGGACGGCGCGCGGCCAGGGCAGGGCGGCGCGGAGGCAGGACCGGGGGGGGGGGGGAGGGGGGGGGGCTGCCAGTTGGGCGGCGCGAGGGCACTGGGGCGGCGCAACGGGCCGGGCAGGGGCAGCGCGCGGGCCCTTGGGTGACGCGACGGGCAGGGGAGGGCGGCGCGCGGGCCGACGCTGCGGGCAGGGGAGGGCGGCGCGCGGCCAGTAGGGTGGCGCGACGGGCAGGGCAGGGCGGCGCGACAGCCAGCAGGGCGGCTCGCGGGCAGGGCAGGGCAGCGCGACTGGTGGGGCAGCGCGACGGGCAGGGTAGGGCGCTACGGGCAAGGTAACGTGGTACGGTTAGGGAACTATTCGGTGGGCCCTAAAAAAAATGGTCCTGGAACAGGAGCTGCTCTGAAACCATGTCAGAATATGGAACGGGAATAATTGCATTGAGATCAAGCTGAGTACAAGTACTAACCCTAATTGGGTTGTACCCCTTATGGGCTACCCCACTACAGCCTACACAACATAAGCATTATAATGTTTTGACGGGTTGGGGATGAGCTCGTCCAGCTCCTCCTTGCACACATCCTCCAGCACGGCGGTGGAGATGCCACATGTGATGAACGGTTTCCTCACTAGCTCCTTTGGCTTGCGGAAAGGTTGGAACCTTGACCTGCGGAAACGGACGGGGAGGGCTATCGCCGTGCTCACACTCTGTAGCGTCGCTTGAAGATGCCGTAGGTGTTGGCAAGACGGGCCTAGGCGAAGGCCTAGGAGCCATGGCTGACTTTTCAAATAAAACCACTCTGACTGTTTTGGCCCCCCCATTTTTTTTGGGTTGTGAAGCAACCTATTGCAATCGACCTAAAGCAAAAAAAATTTCATGAATTTCTAATTATCTGCAAAAAGATATGTAAAATAACTGGAAAATGCTTTTTTTCAGGTTACTAATTAACTTGACAATCTTTTCATAGCGATGATACAGGACTTGTTTAGCTTTCTGGTTATTTGCTAGACATTGCTACTCTGCTTCTTTCTTTTGTAATGCGCATGATTCAGAAAATTGAGATTCTGTGGAGAACTGCAATGACCGACCAAACGATAATTGCATTTCTCATATTCATCAAACGAATTGATAAATACGGTATTCATCAAATTTATACTACCGTAAATTTATACTACCGCTTCCCCCGCCTAGCGTGTCGGGGAAGTCAGCAATATAAACGTAAAATTAAACAGCTATCATAACAAAGCAATACAATCTGCATATTCCAAAAAAAAATATCTAAACTGATCAAGTCCAGCTGAAAATGGTTGCACTGTCATAGTGGTGGACCACTCAACCTTTTGTGACGATGATCGGCAAGATATATTTTTGAAACATGCAGATATGCATTACGATTGGAACGAGAAGAAGCATAAGATAAACAGAAATAAAACAAATCAAACAATTACTCATAATTGAAGGAACTAAAAAAAATGCACTGTAAGTGGTACGACACTCCCTTCAAATCTGTCTTGCCTAAAAGTCAGTATCTGCGATAACAAAAAAGAAGCAGCATCGAATGCAAGAAGATGCGATATTAAGAATTGAAGTTTAAAAAAGAATGAAGAGAATGGCTGTAACGAGAGAGAACGAGAGAGAGATAACGAGAGAGAGAGAGAGTGAGAGAGAGAGAGAGAGAGAGAGAGAGAGAGAGAGAGAGAGAGAGAGAGAGAGAGAGAGAGAGAGAATAGCCTCTCCCCTCGGCCCTTAGCCTCTCCCCGTAGCCTCTAGGCCCTACTTAAGGCCCTCCTACGGCTGGTTTCTCATTGTTCGTGTGGCGGCAGAAAAATTTTCGCTCGTTCGAGAGAGAGCGAGAGAGAGAGAGAGAGGAATAGCCTCTCCCCTCGGCCCTTAGCCTCTCCCCGTAGCCTCTAGGCCCTACTTAAGGCCCTCCTACGGCTGGTTTCTCATTGTTCGTGTGGCGGCAGAAAAATTTTCGCTCGTTCGAGAGAGAGCGAGAGAGAGAGAGAGAGAGGAATAGCCTCTCCCCTCGGCCCTTAGCCTCTCCCCGTAGCCTCTAGGCCCTACTTAAGGCCCTCCTACGGCTGGTTTCTCATTGTTCGTGTGGCGGCAGAAAAAATTTCGCTCGTTCGAGAGAGAGCGAGAGAGAGAGAGAGAGGAATAGCCTCTCCCCTCGGCCCTTAGCCTCTCCCCGTAGCCTCTAGGCCCTACTTAAGGCCCTCCTACGGCTGGTTTCTCATTGTTCGTGTGGCGGCAGAAAAATTTTCGCTCGTTCGAGAGAGAGCGAGAGAGAGAGAGAGAGGAATAGCCTCTCCCCTCGGCCCTTAGCCTCTCCCCGTAGCCTCTAGGCCCTACTTAAGGCCCTCCTACGGCTGGTTTCTCATTGTTCGTGTGGCGGCAGAAAAATTTTCGCTCGTTCGAGAGAGAGCGAGAGAGAGAGAGAGAGAGGAATAGCCTCTCCCCTCGGCCCTTAGCCTCTCCCCGTAGCCTCTAGGCCCTACTTAAGGCCCTCCTACGGCTGGTTTCTCATTGTTCGTGTGGCGGCAGAAAAAATTTCGCTCGTTCGAGAGAGAGCGAGAGAGAGAGAGAGAGGAATAGCCTCTCCCCTCGGCCCTTAGCCTCTCCCCGTAGCCTCTAGGCCCTACTTAAGGCCCTCCTACGGCTGGTTTCTCATTGTTCGTGTGGCGGCAGAAAAATTTTCGCTCGTTCGAGAGAGAGCGAGAGAGAGAGAGAGAGGAATAGCCTCTCCCCTCGGCCCTTAGCCTCTCCCCGTAGCCTCTAGGCCCTACTTAAGGCCCTCCTACGGCTGGTTTCTCATTGTTCGTGTGGCGGCAGAAAAATTTTCGCTCGTTCGAGAGAGAGCGAGAGAGAGAGAGAGAGAGGAATAGCCTCTCCCCTCGGCCCTTAGCCTCTCCCCGTAGCCTCTAGGCCCTACTTAAGGCCCTCCTACGGCTGGTTTCTCATTGTTCGTGTGGCGGCAGAAAAAATTTCGCTCGTTCGAGAGAGAGCGAGAGAGAGAGAGAGAGGAATAGCCTCTCCCCTCGGCCCTTAGCCTCTCCCCGTAGCCTCTAGGCCCTACTTAAGGCCCTCCTACGGCTGGTTTCTCATTGTTCGTGTGGCGGCAGAAAAATTTTCGCTCGCGCCGGCCGCCTTCGGCGGCCGACGCTCGACGGCGCGGCCTTCGGCCGCGCGTGAGGGGACGAGAAGTAATCGCACACAGAGCAGTTGATAATGAGCAACATTACACGCATGGCAACACCTACCGCGGCCTAGCCGCGCAATACACTACATGGAGCAACCGGAGCCCGCGCCTACATGCGGTGAGCTCCAAGGGCATGAAGAATGCCCGTCAGGGAGCGCCAAAGCTCCCGGACCACAAGCGTGCTTGCGCCGATCGCCGCGGCTCCAGATCCTGCGTGCAAGTGTCGCCGCAGTCCACGGACAGCCTCGCCAAGCTGTCCCGCGGCAGCAGCGCCTCCCTCCGCGGGCGCAGCCAGCACGGGCGCCAGCAGCACCGCGAGCTGGTCAGCCGCGTCGAGGCACGGGTCACGCAGGTGGCTGCGAAAGGACTCGGGGGGGACAGCAGGAAGAGATGAGTGCGCAAGCACCTGAATCAGAAGCAGAGCATGCAGGCTCTCCGCGAGACGGTGGAGCTGACCAAGCGTTGTCTCGGGAACGCGCGTCTGCGGAGGCAGTAGAGCCGCCGCCAGGAACGGGAGCGGCTCATCAGCTGCATACTGAGCCGCCGCCGCGCCACCACCCGCTGCCACGAACTCTACCCCCGCGACAGGCGGAACTGGCGGCAGATGCAGTCGGGAGCCGGGAGCCGGCGCCGCTACGGAAGGTGAAGGAGCGGACGGGGCAGGAACGTGAGGAGGAGGAGCAGCAGCCGGCGGAGGGACCTCAGGAGGGACGGGCGAACGGGGAGCCACGTGCTCCGGAGCAGCCCGCAGCGAACTGCTCTGGCTCGGCGCTGCCCTCCCCTGGCGCACGGCGCGCGACACCTCCCGTGACACTTCTCGCTGGAGGTCCGCCAGCGTCACGGGCGGACGATACCTCCCGCCTCCACTGCGCCCCTGGGGACCCCGCCAACCCCCATTGCCACCTGGGTGAGCTGGCCACGGGGCCTGCTGCTGGTAGCGCCGGGGGGAGTTACGCCGGCGCCGCGACGTCTCGCGCTCCTGCGGAGCCGCCGGGGAATGGGGCCGGGACAAGCGGCGGTCAGGCGACTGGGGACGAGACGGCTGGACAACTGGAGCCGCCGGCGGTTGAACAGGCGGAGGCTGATCCGCGCCCGGAGGGGCAACCACCGAGGCCGGGCCGCCAGTGGTGGCGGACGCCGCCCTCGGCGAAGACGCAGACGC